TGTGCGCAACTGGAGCAATAGCTTGGCTTACCAGAATACAACTTATTTATATCCACACCTAGTTGCTCGTATTAGCCAGTAAAAGTGTTGAATCTTAGGAAAGTGAGTGGTCTGCACTATTGATGGAAAGCAATCAAAAGCCTTCTCCCACTAAGGGCATTTAGTCTGTAAAAGCGAACAATAGGACTGGGGAAGAAGCACCTCCATTATGCATGTGAGATGTGATCACATCTCCCCATCTTTCCTCCTCCTCTTTGCTTGTAAGCATTTTGAAGTAAGAACTGTCTTCCTCTAAACCCAGTTTAACATGGTGGGTTAAACTCTGCTTACACTCTTGAAACCCAGAAATGCAATCCCCTGCAGTCACTCACAAGACCTTGGTCTCCGAGCTGCTTGAGAATGGCTACTGGAGTGACCCCGGATTGGTCTCGCTGGCACACTGCCAGGTGCTACTAGCACAGAAGTCTTCTGCAGCTGGCCACTGCCACAACTGAACTGAACTTTTCAGGTAGGAAAAGCTTAGCAGGTGTTTGTACTGGCAGCTTGTATGTATAATCCTTAGCACCGAGCGTAGCATGCTTACAATGGAAGATCGCCGTCTGACTGGTTTTCAGGAAAGATCCGATCTAGATGAGAGACTGACACAGCCAACCTTCACCCTCCCACCCCACAGCCTTCTCCCCTCAGTGGCTGCATGCTACTCTCCTTCATCAGAGAGCCTGGCATCTCAGTTCTTCTGCCAGGCCCCTTATTCATCCAGCATTCAAGTCCCTTTAGAGTCATTTCAGCCCCATGACTCAGAACAACTAAAAACATCCTTATTTATTGCTTCCCTCCCCTTAATCAGCCTACTTCTTCATCTGAGACAGGGATCCATCCCTTCTTGAACATCTGGAAAGCACTTGAGCTCACTGCTGGAGTCCACAGCAAACAAACAGTAAGTCCCAATACTTCAACTAAGTCTTAAAGCAATTCAGTTCTTCCTGCGTGCTGTGCGCTGCTCCTCTACCAGCCTGAGCAGTGAAGGTTGTCTAATCGGTTACATTAGTGCTGGCTCGCAAGAATTAAACTGCAAGGCATGCGTGGGTGCAAGGCTTTTGCTGCCTATTTTTAGAAACAACAGGACGGCAAAACATTTTAGTCTGGTTTCAGCTACATTTTTGATCCCTGTGAACTAGTCAAAGAGAAGCAGCTGGTTGGCAAACGCTCCAGAACACTATTTGTCTAGAGAGAGAGGGAGCGAGCAGATTTTGCGGGGCATCATTTTTAAACTTTGCAGTAGGCTTCTTTCAATCTGAGCAGGGGCTGCAAAAACGTTAGTGTATCATGTAAAAGATCAGACAGGCTCAAGAGAAACCAGCTACAGAGCTGTTAAACATTTTCCAGCACTAACTTTTAGAGTTTGTTGGCTCTTTTAATACCTAGGTAGCCCTTTTTATCCTGTGAGATTTCCTTGGCACATGCAGCCAGTCAAAATTGTACTGTGCTACTCACCAGCGACCTGCATGATTAAGTACTTTGCTGAATTAGTCGCACCGATCACTTGAATCATGTAATACATTTTCACCAGACCTGTGCGAGGTGATTAGCTGCACCGGTCACTGGTGACGCACGCCATGAATTCCTGCGCCCGCGTGGCCCTTCTAAACTTTATTGCGACGTTCACCAGTGACCCGTGCGATGGATGACTTGACACGTCGCCCATCTAAATGGATCGCGCCAGTCACTGGAGCATCGTGCAGTGAAGTTTCGACTGGCCCCTGACGCCGAGTCGCGAATCACACGGGTCACGTGGGACGGTCCCGATAAAGTTCTGACCGGCCACCAGGGCCAAGTCATTTCTCGCGCGGTTCCCCAGCAACCGGTGCAAAGAGTGACCTGGGCTGCGTGGCTGGTGGAAAGGTTTGTCTCGCAGCTCACCAGGGCACAGCGCGAGGACGGGCCGAGCCCTCCTGTGGCCCCTGCTCTACGTTACATACAAGTCGACTGGGCAACCACGTTCCACCGGGCAGGCATGTGGAGGCACCCACCCCCTCGCTCCCAAGTGAACTGGGCCAGACTCCTTGGCAGGGGTGGGCAGACACGGAAACTTTTATGACGCGGGTCACCAGTGCCCGGGGCTTCACGCCATGGACGTAACGTGGGCCGACAGGCTGCTCCTGCGCCTTTAAGGCCGGGACGGCGCCCGAGCGCCCATTGTCCGAGCACAAGGCGCGGGGGACCCCGGGCAGGGGCCAATCAGCGCCCCCCTCCCCTCCCCCCGCCCCGCTCACCAT